TTCCTGCGTGCAATAAGTTACTCGTCTACTTCTCCTCGATTTTTTCCAAAAAAAATTTCAAAGGAAACGTTCAAGAATGTTCGAAGTACTCGAAAAGACAACTTTTTTCTTCATACCCTTTTCTGCCTTTTCCGTGTAAGCTTTGAAGAGAATGTGCTATGTGATCGAAGTATTGAAAAACAAATTCGGGTTTAAACGAATTTTGAACGCCATAAAAGAAATTCTGAGGAAGTATCAAAGCATCAAGATACTTTTTCTGTCTCATGAAAATGGATCTGTTCAACGTGTCGAAACTCATCTTCATCGAAAGCAGCGGACTTTCGAAAATGATTAACCCGCGATTGGAAAACGATTTCTCACAACCGGAAAATCGTTTCCCTGGCTTTTCGCGAATCGATTCGATCATCCCGGATGAGGCCGAAAAAGAAATCCGATTTCCCCGAGGTGCTCCAACGAGTTCCACGCGATAAATCGCAATCATTCGTCATAGCAACAGGCAGTCGATGACGAATTCCCGAAAGTTCCAGTTCCTTTTTCCCCCCGTCTCTCGTACCCAAATAAGTTTCCCGACGCGAACTGCGAGTACAGTGTGAAAGAAAATATATATGGGGTGCAAATAAAATAAGTGCCTAACTCGCGAGAACGACGGGGATATGCGAAATACGAAGGGGTATCCAAGAAGTTCTGTGAGTCACGAACGCAGTTTCGCTGTAAGAAAATTAAAAATGCTAGTCAACTCTTCGAACGTCTCATTCAATCTGAAACTAAAAATCATATCTACAGTATATACGATCTGATTAAACAAAATTTCGTAGGAAAATATTTGTTGGACTCCTACTTTTAACGCAAGGCCGGGGAACATTTAGAAGAATTTTTCAGATCACTTGACACACAATTTTGGTTTTTATCCCATTTTTCAGGGTTGATACGAATACTCTGGGAATTCGAAGCTTCAAATTCTTCAAGTGGGCACATTTTAATAGAAATTACCTATTCAAGAACTCACTATATATAGAGAAACCACGCCAACAATTTTCACTTGAATTTTATCTAAGTGACTCCCCAGCTGTTCGATTTTTTTGTCCCACAGTTATTTTTCTAATTTATCTCGGGGTTTTCGTGGCAGTCTTCCGGGAAAATCCTGAGAAAATTAGAAGACGCGTTTTTTTCTGCATGAAATATTTAGAGTTCAATTATACGGTGATTTGCAGATTGCATTTTTTTATGCAATTCCGAGTGGGATGACATTTTTACCAGTCATGTTCTATGTACCCAGCTGTGATGCATACAGTACTTGGAATCGGTTTTCTAGACTTTTTGAGAAGCCCCTCAAATATCTCGTGCTGGCACCACACACGTACTCATCCTCTTCTCGCCTCGAGTCCATGCCAATAGAGATGAAAAAAAATCTGTCAATGTATCGGAAAAGCTCGATCATATTGTTTAAGTGACATCGAAACATCGATTCCACGGTTCGCAAAGTAATCATGTCCGTCGACAAGAGTTCGATGAAGCGTCAGCACAGGGGCCTTCCAGACGAAATCAGAAATCGTGTTCCACTTATACGCCCACGCAGCAGTTCTTAGCTCAAACTGAAGAGCTTCTCAAATCGGTCATCGAAAATCCTGGGGAAATTTTCCATAGACATCGTCGTAATTGAATTCAGGCGACTTCAGAAAGGATAAATTCGGATGACGTTGAAGCGGACTACGTCTCCATTATTTACTTCGACAAAAGCCTTTCTTCGTCGTGGGTAATTTCTTTGGAACCCCTGGACAACCCACTTGTTTTTGTCGAGCAGAAAATAGTAAGTAAACGTCGTAGAAAAAGGAAACCAAACGCAAAATTGCCTTTCCTTATTCCCCCCGAGGAAATGAGACCCCGTTTACCACATGCATGCCCTCGCGTGTGCATTTGCCTGCTGTTTCTGCAAAAAGGTCATTCACGGCGTTTTTTTGTTGTTGTCGCACTTTTGTTTTAATCTAGGAAATCCGTCGTAAAGAATCAGCTGGTAATTTTCGGCTTCGTCACAAATTTCTGCGTTCGTGGTGCATGAAGCAGCTGCGTTGATTCTCGTTCGAATTATGCTCTAACAGGAGTCAGTTATTTTTGACGTTTGGGTTTACTCCTGAAATAAAGCGAACATCAGTTTCTAATGGACTTGGAGAGTCACCAGGGTGGGCAAATGAATTATCTAATCTGCTCCAAGTACTCGATTCGGGCTTTCTAACCTTCTGGTGCTGAAGGCTGGGAGATTTGCCTCGACTTCCAGCCTGATGATTATTTTAAATGTTTCTTGATTACCATGAATGAAAGCATTCTGTTCAGCGATGCTCAGCAGCCTTCATCTCATTTAAAGTTTTGTATATGGCTGTGCATTTGTCTGGAAATGAATTCTACATAAAGAAAAAATACCTTTTAAGACACTTTCCTAACATTTTGGGCTAAACATCACCGTAACCCAAAGATGAGCCCTCATATTGGTAACATTTTTGGATCTCCAAACTTTTTCTGTTGAGCGAATGAAAGGAATTTAGTTGAATTCTCAACTTGGTATGAAAAACTTATACCCAGGCTAAAAACTCAAGAAAACCTTTGTTTCGTAATTATAGAATTGAAGCCTAAATATCAAGTATGGGCTCTAAAATATTTTGGAAATTTATCTTTCAGAAGCTTGGTAAATTTATTAGAAATCCACGGAGAATGCTCTGAACAACACTAAATTAAGTTTGACTGATAATGTGAAATTGGCGGTATATATATTTACATTTTTGATTAAAGTAAAACGGTTCTATTTATGGTTTTAAAATACTACCTGGATTTGGAAACATACTGTGTCCTTGTCCTGAATATGTTGTCATGTTATATATTTTTGTGGTGTTATTCCACCTGAACTTCCTTAAAACTAAAGTCCTCCTTCTGAAGTATGTTGGTTTCAAGTTAGAGACACTTACTTAATTCGTGATGACAAGATTGTTTTTTTTCATACTTATTTGGATATACAGTACATTACTCACCCACAAAATCAATTTCAGATTCAGCGTACTTGAAATCCAGTATGACGCATTATTGAGCTTAGATTATACGAAGATGATACCAGAAGATTTTTTTCTTTAACGCAAAAGCCTTCTCAATAAATTATTGCCTTCATCGCGAACTTCTTGAACCAACTCATGTATGCGTTCGATATTTGACTTGAGATCGTGTGTGGAAGATTTTCAGAAATTTTTGTCTTGCCCCCTCCAAGCAGGTCGAACCCGTGTTTCAAGTTGCGAACATACGGTGTTAACAACGGCGACTTATTTCGATGATAACAATCAGGAACAAAAAGTATCATTTTTTCAGGACCATATGCACTCTGCAGCGGCACGAGGGTAATTTTGGGGTTCTCGTTGAAAATGAAATAAAAAAAAGTAGGAGAAAGAGAAAAGAAACCAGACTAAGCGGTGTCGTAAAACCTGTACGACCACTGGCACGTGGCTCACATTCGTCGAAAATATTCGCGGACCGCATGTCGTATATATGTGTTGGCGGGGGACCGAAAATCATCGCGGGTCTTTATTTCCGCATACGCATTTCGCAAGACGGGTTATGTGCATCGATCATCCATGTCGGCACCCGGGATCATCACTGTCTATTTGCGCATTCCAGTGATGGGTTTGCTCGTCAGCTCACACACCGGTTTATATTCCGAGATCAGCTTTCTTTTCATTCTTTGTGTCGAGCCAATGAATCCGGAAGTACTTGAGTAAAGAACAAGATGTATTTTTATTCATTCAAGTGACACGAGTGACGTGGACATGGTTGAAACTCGAAAGCGTCACTTTTCATCGTTGTATCGATCTATGAATACATGCGAATGAATAATATATGGGATGTGCGAGAAACATTAAACTCATTTTACGAACGATATATCTTGAAGAGTCTGCTGAAGATATGTATTGAAAATATTCATAATTAAAATTGAAGTCGACTAACTATAAAATGATTTTCAGTTGTATATATATGGCTTCAGTTGCGTTGAAATGATCTTTATGCAAACTTGAAGGATTGAACACACGGAAATCGATTTGCACGCGCTTTCTTCTGATGACGAATGGGTCTGCAAAAAAGATTTTCCCAGTCACTCTACCGTTGAATAATTCGTGCCAACTGCCAACTCAGACGAAAACATTTTTTTCAACAATGCTGGATGGCTTTATTTCTAATTGAATTCATTTAACTATAAATGATAGAAAGTTGTATATGGCCTCAGTTGCGTTGAATTTATCTTTATGCGAATTTTAAAGATTAATAACCCTGGGGATTCATTCGATCGTGCTTTCTTGTGATGACGAGTTGGTTTGCAAAAAAAAAAATTCTCCCATTCACTTGTGCCCTTGAATAATTTGTACTAAGTCAGGCAGGAAATCATTCTCAACAATTCTTAGTGTGACGTTATCTTGTGAGTTTCCTGGAAATTTTTGTAATTTTTCGCAAAATCGCGAAAGGACGGCAATAAATGAATCATTGCGGTGGCGGCAGAACACACATCTTCGCATGGGAAAACGACAATTTTTCTGAAGAAATCATAAAAAATGATTTAAAATGCTCAATTCATTTCCCATGGAAAAACATGATTCGTAAATCATCAGTCCAGAATGATGTACGAATTATTTTTAGCGGAGCTCAGTGAACGTAGAAATGAATTTAGCAACTTATTAGTGCAATGTTTGAGCAAACGATTGAAGTGGAACACGGATAGTGTTGCTTAGCAGCACGTGCAAATACTTGCCGGTTGAATAATTCTGGAATACTGACAACAAACGTGGACTTTTTTTTTTTTTACACTCATGTGTACATTTTCCTCAAGTGCATTTTCGACTTCAACCCCTTTTATCCGAAAGCCATCATCAAAACACCCAACCTTTTATTTTCGAAGGAAGGTGTTACATTGAAACGTGAAATTCAAAATCGTTCTGTATATAGTTCAAGGAATTGTTTTCTCGTAATGAATTTCTCATTTTTCGTTCTTATTTACTCAGGACTGAGTGCAAACGAAAGTTCGAGTAAATGGCTGAATCCCAGGAGACCGGGGATCTCGACGAAAGCACAGCAGAAACACATTGCCAACAACTGTGGGCAGAATGGAATGAAACACAGCATTCCGGTAAGTGTTCATCCAATTAAGGGGGACTAAAATTGTAATTGTTTTCGAATTCATGAAACTGAATAGTCAAAAAGGGGAAAAAATACTGTCGATCTGAAGATAGCTTTAATCCAATCTAGTCCTATTGTAAACCGTGCTACGATCCATCAACGAGTTTAATTTGGCGCGTCGCTGACAAATTCTGCGCGCGTCGCGGGACAACACATTCGGTCGGATAGTTTTTTTCGCTGAAATTTCGAGTCACTGGCAAGTATTTACTTTTTTTTTGGGTTTTCAGAGGATAAGATTTTCTGTGAGCCGTTTTTCGACAGCTTGATATGCTGGGAAGCGACAGAAGCCGGTACAGAAGCCATGGCTTCTTGTGTTTCTGCTCCTCACGTTGGGATTTACGCAAACGGGGGTAAGAGAACATTCCGAGGAATCCGAAATAGAAAATACACAAGAGTTTGCTGTCTTCATTTTAGGATGTCTCTTGTTAACTGAAAATTATGTGCAGCTTCATAAGCTCTTTTTTTTACTCTCTGAAACTTTCGCGGATTTAATTTGCTTTGCTCGACCGACGGTCCTCGTGACCGCCATAATAATCTGAAAAAGTTAAGTTTGAGAAAAACGAATATCTATTCCCGGTGGATCAATAACTATTTTGCTATGAAAAAAACGTGAGATAGCGTCAGTAGCCGAAGAAAATGACGAGGAATTGATTTCGGGATTAAAATAAATTTTTGTGAAGGAACTCATCGATTGGAAATTGAAATGTGACGACAAATTCTTGAAATTCTTTTTAACGTCAGAAAACCTAAAGCGTGATTGAAAAAGTTTTGGTTTGGTACAGTCAACACTAAATAATCCACGTAATTGAATCATGGTTAAAATCATTTTGCAGCCTACACATTTTCGTACGATGTTTCATGAAAACTTCCAAACTTTCAAATGAGATAAAAAAAAAGTTGAATAATCGTATGATCCTGTGGATTAGCACAGATCTGATAATAATAATAATTTGTAAAGTAAATTTCATTTTAACATCCTGAACCTAAAATTTTGTTCGAAACCCATTGGTTTGGTTCAATCAAGACGAAGTACAGAACAATATTCCATATCTTAAATTTAAACTTGGTTTATATCATATTTCAGCTCACATACAATCGTACGATGTTTCGTACATTGAATAATCGTACGTTGAAAAGTTGAATAAATTCATCATCCTGTGGATTAGCACAGATCTAGTAATAATAATTCGTAAAATAAATTTTATCTTCATGAAACTAACTTGCAATTTTGTTCATAAACGCGTTGGTTTGGTGCAGTCAGCATTAAGTAATCCATATCTTAAATATAACAATGGCTATCTTTTTTCAGTTCACATTAATGTTCATAAAATGTATGTTTCATTGAAACTTTCAAACGAGAGGATTTCAACAAAAATTTGAGTAAAATCATCATCGCCTGTGGATTTCGCAGTGTTCAGCACACAGCATATACTTTTAAATTTATACACACAATAATTTTACAGGCTTTAATTAACGCGACACATTTCATCGATGATTAATACTGTGGACTTTTCATATTTTAATCAAAAGGGAACGTTACCAAGTATTGTAACCCGGATGGAACTTGGTGGGTTCATCCAGCGAGTGTAACCAACCAAAGTTGGGCAAACTACTCACAGTGTGTCATGCAAGAGTGGGGAGTAAGTTTATCAGTCGAATGTCACTCTATATTGGCCAGATGAATAATGAATGTTTCGGTGAAAACTTCCATAGCAAGCATTGGGCGTGAACGACTTGTTTGTCGCCGGCTACGCTATATCTCTTGTGATGATCGTTTGTGCTCTGATCATCTTTTTCTACTTTCGGTGAGTCACGAGAAAATTGGCTTTCAATTTAAAATGCATGAGATTCGTTGAACTTTAAATCTGGCAACATCTGAAAATAGGTTACGTAATGCGAGCCCAAACGATTTGATAAATCCATGTGCTTTGTTCCAATTGCTCATCGGATACATTTTCAACAAACTGATTAAAGTATAATCTTGAATCGTCACCTTTTAAAAAAAAAATGTTTCATCCGAAGTCTAATTAAATTCTAATTTTGACAGCAGAAAAGTCGCGTTATGAAAAATTTGTAGAAAATGCATTTATTCCGCTAAATATTTGAGAAGTGGTTCATTGCAAGATTATTCAATTTAAAAAATAGCACACAAATAATCCTTCCAAGTTGTATATACGTCTTATAAAATTTAATTTTTTCCAAATATTTCGCAGATCCGAATGTAGAATTTATCATCTCTTCTCAGGAATGTTTTAAAATACTAAATGAACCTTCATAGCCTGCATTAACTAAATACAGACGATTAAGCATGAAGGATGAAATGATCTGTTCCGTTCGCACAGTGGGTCCCAGCATAAGGAAAGACCCACATGAAGAAAACTGCTGAACCAAAAATTTCCAGCGGGAAGAATATGAATTGCAAAATTATTCCACGTAACACCATTTTTTGGCCGGAGAAATCCACAAATTTCAAATAGTTTCCAACTGGAACTTGGGAATTTTCCAAAAATCAAGAAAAACTGAAAAGAACTTTGCCTCTTGTCTTTACAATTTTAGAAATTCAGAACGTTCTGAGCAATACAGTTGTCAGAATTAACGTTGAAGCATGTAAAATTCAACAATCTTTTTTACAAAAAACCCTAAATATGTTATGGTTTATGATGGTCTCCCTTGTGAGTGGCTGGAACCCATTTAATGAATCACAATTTAATCTCAAGGGAAAATGCGTTTAACTCAACGAAGATCCAGAAAAACAAACCATCCAGGAACGGATTTCAAAAATCAAAAAGAGCGAGCATTAAAGTAGTTGGTCGTGATTGCTTGTTTTTCTCATCCATGATTTTCTCATGTTGAAGTTTCCCCAGTTCGTGAAACAGTTTTTCACTGGTTTTCGCAGGTCATTGCACTGCACAAGAATCACGATTCATAAGAACCTTTTCATATCATTCATGTTCAACAACATCGCCTGGATTCTGTGGTACAAACTGGTGACAGATGCTCAATGGCAGTACAGCAGCAGCGGCTCAAGCACCACTGTAAGAAGCTCAGCACCCTCATACCAGGGTTGTCCGACTTAAAGGCTACCTTGGGTGATATATATTTTAGGCTTGGCTGTAAAAAGTAAAAAAAAAAAAGCATGACATAGCCCATGATGTTGTGGGGGTCTGGGATTCTTTCAGACTTTCAAAGACATTTCCGATTTACTTATAATGAGTAAAAGCTTTCCAGCTACCGCCAGAGTTCAGCACCCCTGTCACACGGTGGCAACAATTTGTCAGTATAATAGGGCAGCTGAAAACGAAAGAATATTGCTGTTTAGCCATGATCTATAAAACAGCGTTCCGCAAACCAATGGTCTGATTGCCCAGCAGAACTTTTTTGCTGGTCCACAAGAAATTGTCTTCACGCGGCTAGAATAAATTCATCAAAAGTAGCTCTGAAGTCTGCTATCTTCATCTGAAATTCTATAAAGGCAATGACAGTTGAAATTATGTGATGGAAAATAAAAATCGGCTTTTTTCCTAATCATGCTTCATAGACAAAGTTTCACCTGCTGATATAAATCATTTTTTAAATTTTCATTGCAATAAAATTCCCCTCAAGCCCACCTTTTTATGGAAGACATTCCACAAAAAGTAGCTTCATTGGTGCTTAACTTAAAATTTGCAAAAAAGCAGCTTTTTGAAATACTGTAACTGCCATGAAGTCTTCCAACCAAAACTTTTTTAAATTGGCAAAAATGCAATGAAACTTTGCTTGTCAATAGAAAATCTATCTGGAAACTTGCTATGGTCCACAACTTATTCCATGGAAATCTGCTGATTGATCCACTGGCCCAAAAAGGTTGGAAACATGGCTCTCTAAACTTTTGAAAATATAGTAGGTAAAACAACGAACAAATTTCAGATTTTAGCAGGCCTAATTTTTTTTAGCACAATTAATGTGAGATGTCTTACATGTGTGGAGAACTCTGACTTTAACTTAACATCACCACGCAGTAAATTGAAAATTTTCCACAAAAATAAATCTGAAAAATCCCAAGACCATGCAACGTCTTATGGGCTATATCGTAATTATCTTTTCTCTGTGACAGTCTCAACTACCCTATATGAATAACCAAGGTCGCGCCGAAGTGGGACAACCCTGGTATTCTTGTATGTAAACCTGTGACGCATGCGTTTCTTTGTCTCCGTTTTTCAACACCCTCCCCAGCACGGTTGTGTGACCTTGCACATCATCATCCACTACTTCCTCCTGTCCAACTACATGTGGATGTTGTGTGAGGGCTTGTACCTGCACACCTTGTTGGTCGTGGCGTTTGTTGAGGAGCGCAAGATCATGATCTACTTGTTCCTCATCGGCTGGTTATTCCCCGTCGTGATCATCTCCATTTACGCCGCGCTCAGAGGCAGCTTCCAACACGAGGAGCAACGTGCAATGTGAGTTTATTATACGAGGGTTGGCTCGTAAGTTTTGCAAATTTTTGAAATACTGTACTGTAGATCCAATGGAGTTTCAACAACTCCAAATTTTTGTTTATACTTGCATAGCCCCATCATTATTCGGCAACACTTCATTTCTGTTAAACTCAGTCTGTGCCGATTTCAGTGAATTATTTCATGTAATAAATTCAATGATCAAAACATAGCCAAAATTGTTAATTGTATTATACAATCAACCTACTCTTTGACGGCGGGAATGAGGCTGTCCCTGGCATGAAAATCAATTCCTTTTAGATCAATATTCACCGTCGGGAACAGGCAGAAGTCACATGATGCAATACATGTCATATGATTTTTTAAAAATGAACAAGAAAAAGTTCAGAAGAAATTTTGATGAAAAAAATTGTGACTTCTGCTGTTCCTGACAGTGAAGAATGATCTGAAAGCTATTGACTTTGAGGGCACAGACACCCTCATTTCCGTCATTGAAGAGCTGGTTAATGAACTATAAAGGTAATTATCACTTTTTTATTGTTAGATTTAACACATGAAAAAAATGCATCAAAATCGGCGGAGACTGCGCTGAGCAACAGCACTCAAGTGTTGCCAAATGATGGGGCTATGCAGGTGAAAATAAAAATTTGGAATTTTCAAAACTCCCTTGGATCTATACGGTATTTCAAAAAGTATCACAACTTTCGAAACATCCCTTGTAGTTAGTGGCTTTTCTTCATCTACTGTCCTTTCTTCCTTCGGCATCATATGAGCACTTGACAGAATGTAAACGCAGCTTGTTTCACTATTTGATGTCTTACTCACATGTCTCTTGATGCCCGCATCGTCTTTGGGGAAAAGAGTTTTCAAAAGGAAGAAGAATGTCTTCTTGATGGTTGCTTGTCAGGTTCCTTGTTTTATTGTTACTCCTTATCCTTTAGTCGGAATTGTAAACTACGGGGTCGTCAGAAAATACGAAAAACTCGTTAATGTTTTATTTTATCGATTGTCCTGCATCCGGGATGAATTGAACCTCATTTCCGGAAAAGACTTCCGCTGTTCAACCTTTTTTTATGTTTCGTAAACTTGGCCATTGATGCAGTAAACGGCAAGACAGGGTGAAGAAGGCAAAGGTTTTGAAAGTCTCCCAATTGGGTATTCTTTCAGGGTCCAATAAATCATTCACGTATCTCGCTTCTAACATGAACATGTATTTTTTACAATTTTAGCCCATGTCTTTCATTTCTCATCTACTCGAGTGCATGTATTTGAACGTGGAGGTGTTGACAACTTTCAGGTAGTTTGAAATTATGAAAGTAAATGAGGCGAATGCTTGACTTCCGCAGGAAAAATGCGTGGGTCTGAATCGAAAGTTTTCAACAGCCACGCGCTGTAACATAATGGGGGGATAACTGATCTGGCCGTAATTGGAAAGTCTTGACTTATCATCATCCATTAAACTTGAAAATTATTTTCAAAATAAATAAAAAATCCAAGAACCTCACATCATTATGGGCTGTATCATAATTTGTTTCTAATCGTGCCTAATCTAGAAATACTGTAACTAAAGTCGCGCTCAAGTGGGGCAACCCTCGTAAAAGTCCTGGTTTTATTTCAGTGAAATAAGGGTTCATTTAATTTTTTTTGGCTTCTTTGCTGCTTCAGGTGCTGGACCTCACCGACGAATTACGACTACATTTTCCAGCTGCCAGTGGCAGCGTCGGTCATTCTCAACTTCGTGTTCCTCATCAACATCGTTCGGGTGCTGTTGATGAAAGTCCGGCTCCCGGCGGCCACGGCAGAGGACCAGGAGCGAAACCAGGCGTCAACGGGTCACCGGAAGGCAGTGCGGGCCCTGTTGATCCTGATCCCGCTCCTGGGGGTGCAGCACTTTCTAACACCGTATATAGCAGAAGAGGACAAAGAGGCTCACAAGCAAACCAACTTCGTGGCCTATGTGTGCATCCAGCTGTTCGTCATTCCTTTGCAGGTCGGTTGAGTATATAAGACGAGTCCGGATATAAATTGTTCTTCTCATCCTGATGGAATGTCATTCCTCGTCTCCGTGCGTTCTCAAAAGCTGTACAGTATTTTAAATTCCTCGACCTGATGAGCGAATATTCGTATAGGTTATGTTCATGTGTAATTTATGAAGCGATTTGTGTGTTCCGTTTAATCTTAAAGTAAGAACAATCATTTTCTTTCTCCGAAGAGCTGCAAATTTCAATAATGTACCACAAATATAAGTGAAAGAGTAATGCTGAAATCAACGTTCAGAGCACAGATTCAACGAAAGAATCGATGATAATTTATAATCATATTTCGTTTCTCTTTCGATCATGCTCAAACATGGAAGAGATGAATGTTCAGTTCTTGAATCAGATCATTATTTTTCTGTACGCCTGTGCTGATTAAATAATTCAAAATTTTGAATCATTTCTTATACTTGCTGAATGTTTCTTCGTGCGTTCTCCGGTAAGAAAAAGGACAGGAATTTTCTAAAAATAGAAAGAGAGAGAGATAACATATCCTCTGGTAAGAGCATAATCGAAAAGTATATGATCTTCAACAGTAGAAATTTTGACATCGAAGGACAGTGTGACACCAGCAAGTTCGTTTCTCACTCATGTTCAGGTGTCGCAACAATAAGATAAATGACTTGTTTACGTACAGTATCTATTTGAATATTGGATTTTCTCTCAGGACCGATGTCCTTCTTATGGCTTTCTCTGTGTAGAACCAACGGGTGATGACTTCACGAGTGTAAAAAAAAAAAAGTGATGGGGTATATATGCACGAGGCAGATATTCAGTCGATTGATTGGCTGATTTACGTATCTTTGAAAATGAGCTCAAGTTTTCTGGCACCGAGCTCGTTTTCTCCAAACTTCCGCATAAAATAAAGTTCCTCCAACTTTTTTTTTGCAGGGCACGTGGGTGGCACTTCTGTTTTGCTTCTTCAACAGCGAGGTGAGTTTCTCACGTGACAAGATTTTACCGATGACAGAATTCTCTGCTTCTCTGCTCATCTGACAAGGAAAAGAAAAATAAAGCAAAAAAGTTCCCGTCATTGCACTGTTTTGTTGAAGAAGATGGATTCTTTTTGCTTCCTCTCCCCTTGTTTCAGGTTATTTCGTTGTTCAAGAAGAAATACCGTCAGTACATGCTAACGAAGCGTGGCGCAGATCCCGGTCTTTCCGTGAGTTTCATATCATCATCGTTCGTTTTTTTTTTTTTTGGTTGTTGTCGAAACTCCCTTCAGCTTCCAAAGTTTGTTTTGACCTAAAACGCACCGTAGCTACTTTGCCTGCAGCACGAATTCATAATTTGATGACTTGGCAGCTGCCTCTTGACCGCTCACAAGATTCATGTGTCGAACATGTTGACAAAACCTGAAGTAGCAAGGCTGATGGATTCCATTCCAACTCACATAATTAATTTTTTTTTATCTGCCCGAGATCGCAGCAAAAGCGTAATCAGCAAAATAAGGGCGTATCTTTTTCCACGTGCCCTTTGAAAAAATTTGAATCTTCGTTGCATTTCAGAAGAGAAAGAGAATACTGTACTAGAAAGCCCAGACGAATATAAAAGAGATACAGAGCGCGGCGTGTGGGCAGGATATTAATCATGGAATGGGACCTGCGTAGCAAATGCACGCAAGGATTCACGAGGAAGATAAAATTGAGACGCATAGCTTTAAAAATTCAGCTTCGCGGACACATCTTGCAGCACATTCCTCTGTGTATCAAGATAAAATACAATTTATTTAAAATACTGTACACTCATTAGCCCAGTAAAAAGAAAAATTACGCACTGATTCTCGCCCTCCGAGATTAACGAAAATATCAATACTTCAGAGAGTTACGGACGTAAAATCAAGAAATTTGAGTTCAGGGAATGTCATGCAATGTTGAATTAGAGGGAAAAAAGCACATTTCTCTGACATAGCTCTCTTTTATGTTAAATAAAGTTTATGACATGTGAGTAATCGGGTCGTCATTTTTCCTTTTAATGCGTGACTAAGAGCGGGAGGTTCTAATTGCTTTTATAGTTATGAAGTCTCTCAATGGGACGTGAAATCATGAAATTTGAGTTCAGAGAATCTCATGCAATGTTGAAGAAGAGGAAAAAAGCACATTGCTCTGTGTATCAAGAGAAAATACAATTTATTTCAAATACTGTACACTCATTAGCCCAGTAAAAAGAAAAATTACGCACTGATTCTCGCCCTCCGAGATTAACAAAAATATCAATACTTCAGAGAGCTACGGACGTAAAATCATGAAATTTGAGTTCAGGGAATGTCATGCAATGTTGATGAAGAGGAAAAAATGCCGTCATCACCTCAATAGCCGCAATTGATGGAGAGACGAGATCTTCACAACTTGTTTATAAGCTTCTACCCTGAAATTTGATGAAAGACGAATCTCGATAACTCGAACCTCTCTGAGTAAAATACGTCCCTAATTCAAATTTTTCTCGAGTTCCCGTCTGAATTCCATGCATTAAAATCCTCTTTAACTCGAAGGTTTTTTGTCTCAAGCCTCCATAACTCAGACTTGATTAAGCCTTTTGGATATTTTTTCTTGACACAGGAAAGAGAAAAAATGTACCTTGAAGTGTTTTGAAAATAAGTGCAAGACTGAGTTGGCAAATTAACCTTGCCTCTATAAGTTCACCATCCTCTCAAATCATTTAGGAAGCAATTTATGGCCCAGAATATCACATTTTACAATTTCCTGCAATTCTTTGATGCTTCCCAGAAGAAAAATGCTTGTTTCCTTAACTCACAAAACCTCTCTAACTCGAAACCTCCATAAATCGAATTTTATTGCTTAACTTCGACTTAGCAAGGTTCGATTATTGTATTAGTGGTATTCTCATCTATTGTGCGTCAAAATCGTATAGATAAGTGGTAAAAATTGAGGCATCCTCGGGAAATCTATCCTTAATTCGATAGTATCATGCAAGCTAAGTATTCTGAATGAATCACCTTCAGATTTGCTCCTTTGGGCCAAATACGCTATTTCCGAAGTGATAAATCCTTCCTGTACTTCGAATGACGTCGCAATTTTTTTCTACCAGCATTTCACGACGTGCTGGTCCCACAAACGTTCACCTCAACTTTCGAAATTGCATTTGCATCATACAGTATTT